GCCTGGAGCAGGGTCCTGGCAGGACCATGGAGAGCGGAGCCCAGGTTTTGTGACCCACCAGGGGATCCAGGCTGGAGCAGCGATTCCTGCAGAAAACTCAGGATTTTACAGGATTTGACACCATTTTCAGCTGTGGGGGTGGGAGGTTTTAGTCATTTTTCAGGTGTGAAACTTCCACTTTCTCCAGAAATTCCCAATTCATGGAGTTCTGACTCTTGCCAAAGGAAATAATTATCAGGGCTGAACAATTATAATTTTTTTTGTCCTTTTTATCTCCCAAACCTCACCCTGCTGGAGCCAGCTCTGATTTCCCATTCCCAGTGGTCTTGGGGTTCTTGTTTAAGATTAAAAGATTTTTGAGAATGTGAATAAAGTTCTGGCTCCTTGGGAAAATTGTGCCAACAGATGAAGTGGGAAAAGTTCCTAGAAGGAGAAATGTGTGAATTCATCCTGACTGTAAGAAGGGATCTTTATCCTTGGAGATATCCAGAAATAAACTGCCCTGAACTCTGGGTTGCCTCATTTAACTTTGCACTGCTTTGAGAGGGAGGCTGGGGCCAAGGAATTCCATAAATCCCTTTCAACTGAAATTAAGCTCTGATTCCAAGTATTTGAAATCTGTTCAAAAACCAGGGATGGCAAAATCATCATGAAGTTACTTCACGTGGGGTTTGGGAAATATTAAATTCATCAAGGATTTAATTATTTAATTATTATTACTAGATGGATTAAATCCATCAAGTTCATATTTTCCATGTTCCAGGGCAGATGGAAAAGTCCAAGGTTGGATGGAGTTTGGAGCAGCCTGGGATAGTGGAAGGTGTCCCTGCCCTTGGAACAAGATGGGATTTAAAGTTGCTTCCAACCCAAACAAATTTGGGATTCTCTGGAACCAAACTCCATGGGACAAACACCTGTTATATCCCAAATTTCTGCTCTGGAGTTCTGATTAATTCCCAAAATAAACAGGAGCTTTCCAAGGCAAAGCATTCCCTCTCTACATCCCAGGAAATTCCTGCTCAGCACACACAGACATTCCAGAGCTGCTGCAAACCAGGGATGAATCCCAGCATCTCCACCTTTAGGAACAATTCCCTGTGGAGAACAAACTCAAACGTTCTCCTTAAAAGAGATAACTTGGATCTGCTCCATTTCCCTTATCTAAGAACCTGTCCTCTTATCTGAAAGATAAAAAGGTGTTGCAATTTATCCCAGATAAAACCAGGATGGAAATTATCCTTTCCTTCCCTTTGCTTCCACAGCCTTAATTACTCTTTCCTTAGGAAAGAATTCGGAGGCTGAGGAGAATATTGAGATATCCAATCAGTTTTGGAGCTTCCCAGGTCTTTCCCAGTTTTTTTTTTGTTTTTGTTTTTGTTTTTGTTTTTTTTTTTTTTTAATATTTTTTAAACCCACCAAGATTTTGAGAGCGGTGTTTTCTCTTGGGGTTTTTCAGTACCAAAGGAGTGAAAAATACAGCAAAATTTAAAATGCAGCTTCTCCTCATGCAGCACTGGGAGATTTTCTTGCTTCTCCTGTCGTGCAGTTTTGGCTGCATCCCTTTCATTCCAGAAGGATGGAGAGCCCCCACTCCTGGATTCCATCTCCTTGTGGAAAAAAATGGGAAATTCATCCAACATTTGGGATTTCTCAATTATCTCTAAATTTCAAACTATTTGACCCTTTTTATGTGCACACCCACATCACCTGTTGGCCACTCTTGTTTTCCTTTTGTTGTTTCAGAGTGCAAAAATTAAACTTTCCAGACATTCCCTGCTGGGAATTCTCTGCTCATCCCCAGCTACCTGTGGGGTGTTTCATCTCCTGGTGGGAATATTTTAGGAAGGAATTCTTGCCTGGGAAGATGGGGAGGCCCCAGGTTTCCCAGAGAATCCGTGGCTGCCCCTGGATCCCTGGAAGTGTCCAAGGCCAGGCTGGATGGGATTGGAGCAGCCTGGGATAGAGTTTAGCATAAATCCGACCTGATGGGAATGGGATGAGTTGAGCTCCTCATAGCCCCAAATTTCTTTGTTCCTTGACAAAGGAATCACCCCAAGTGGTGATCTCTGGGATACTCAGCCCTGTGGGGGTTTCCTGCAGGAATTCTCAGCCCAGCTGTGGCTCCAGACTTTGCCTTCCTCGGATTCTATCCCAAAATTCCTGCCACTTTGGACAAGGAGCACCTCTGCCCCAAACCCCCTCAAACTGGCGCCTCTTTGACCTCACTGATGGCTGCAAAACCTGAGAAGAATCCAAGATTTCTGCAACAAGAGCAAAGCTGAATTCTTACATCAGGACAGCAAATTCCAAGCCCTTTGCCTCTGAAGCCTGGCTCAAATCCGGAATTCAACCCTTTCATCCCAGCAACTGGGTGGAAACTCCAGGTTCCAAATGCAAATAATCCAAAACATCTCTTGTGGAATGAAGAGTTGACCCGCAGGAAATGTGATCTTTAAAATTCCATAATTATCCTCAAATAATGATTGTATGGGTGAGGATTTTTTGTCCTTCTTTCTACTCCCGCTTGTGCATTTCAGAGGGAAATCCTCTTCATTTTTCTGTTTTATGAATAATACAGGAATTAGATAAATAATTGATAGGTTGTTAACGAAGTGGTCAAATATGCATTGCCCTCAAAATGCAGGAATTTGGATGGACTGTCAAAGAGATTGCTAAGATATTTGATATTTTTATTTATTGGGCAATTCCTTGCAGGAGCAGCTCCATGAGATTCCATATCCCTGGCTCTCCATCACACCCACCCAGTTTCTCTAGGAAAACTGATGCTTGCAAAATTCCGAAATTCCCTTCATGCTGACACTGAGAATGTCCATCATGGGCTGCTCCTTCCTGCTCATCCCATTGGAAAAACGGGAAAATGAGGCAAAGGATGCTCCAAAAGGAGCTTGTTTTCACCCAAGCTGAACCAAAACAGGTTTCCCTTTCGAGCCCAGCTTTCACAGATGAAAAAGAGACACTAAAAAGGAGAAGGAAAAGCCTGACTCCTCTGGAACAGGAATAGAAAAACATCTTGGCTGAAAAGAGATGAAAAAGGAGCAATTAATGTCTGGAATTCACCTGCAAATCTTGTTGCCGTGAGCTATTATTGTTCAAATTATTAGGCAGGTGTGCGAAGTGCCTCACAAGCTGGAGAGAAATTAAAAGGCAGATTTTGCAGCAAACTCGTGCTTATTACACAATTACAACCCCGTGCAAGAGCCAGGGGATGTTCCCGTTGATTTCACCCCCACGACACCTGGAAATGCACCTGATCCCAAATTCCACTCCATTTTAGACCATTGGTCTGGATCAGGATAAATAATGGATTCAGAGTGAAGGGAGGGTCACTGCCCTTGGTTGTCAAGGTGTTTGTCCCTTTGCTGTGGGACAGACAAGGGACAAGCAGGTGGTCACAGGCAGTGAAGTCACCATGGAACCCCAGGAGTGGCTGAGAGAGCTGGGAAAGGGCTGGAAAACTCCTGAGGGAGCCGGGAAGGGGCTGGAGAGTTCCTGAGGGAGCTGGGAAGGGGCTGGAGAGTTCCTGAGGAGCTGGGA